CAGCCCCCTGCGCCAGTCCAGTCCAGCCCCCCCCTCCGCCTGCCCTCCCTGGTCAGGGGAGCCCGCGTCTGCCGTGTGCTAAGTGAGTAATAGAGTGGGCGGCCCAGGGCCGTTCCTGAGATTCTTTTGCCAAAAAAGAAACAAAGAAGAAAAAAATCACAAAATTAAAATTACAAAATGGGGATGGGTGTGCGCTTTCTTATTTTGGTGTGAAGACGGACTAAAGCTGAGGTTCGGTTTTGGCTGCTGTCCTCGCTCCCCGGAGGGCGACGCTTGCCCACACAACACAAGGAATCGAACGAATGCAAGGAGGGAGCCGGCGCTTCCCACAACCCTACAAGGTGTTTCGGCATCACAGAGCATCCCGAGGGCCCCGAGAGCAAGCGGCCTCGCGCCGGCCTCCCGAGCGTGGGTGAGTGCGGGGGCGGCGGCTCAGAGGGCCAGCCAGGACGCGAGGGCTGCGGACAGCGAGGCCAGCAGCACCTGCAGCGAGGGCAGCACCGCTCCGGGCGCCCGGTTGCCGCTGCCGCAGAGTTCGAATAAGCTGCCTTGGATGTTGAGTTTTCTGGATTCTCGTCTCAGTTTATCCCACATATCTTTCGCCCCTTCCTGGCAATCCGTGAGGGCCGTGACCGTGCAGCTGTGGAAATCTTCCCAGTAGCTGGTGAGGGACAGAAAGGAACAGAAGAAGCAAAGCCCCCTCGCCGCGCGCCCCTCCCCGCGCGCGCCCCGCGCCCGCTCCTCGCTTGCCGAGTGGATGCGGCCACGGGGCGGTCTCTAATTACCTCCTGTCCCCCGGCGGCCCGTGAATAATGGCTACTGAGGGCGCTCGCAGGGGCTGCTGAGAAGGAAACGCGGGGCGCGAGAGGCGCGGCGCGCGCGGGAGCGCGAGGGAGAAAGGAGCGAGCCTGGGGCTGCCGCGAGCGGCGGGCGGAGAGAAAGGAATCGTGCGAGCGCTCACATTTTTTTCTCCCAAGGATCTCATCTGCCGCGGCGTTCTGGAAGAAGCGAGAGGAAGAGCACGGGAGAGAGGGAGAGAGACGGCGAGGGGAAAGGGAGACGACGAGACGCGCAGCACCGGCGTCCGGGAGACCCAGGAGGATCCCGCAGGTATTGTTGGCGGCTGAGCTTTGTGTGATCCGGGGAGGGGGGGCCGTAACGGGGCGCGAGGGCTCCGGGAGCCCCCGGCCAGCCGCCGCCGCGTTCAGACCTGCTCCCAACCCTGGGTTGCTGGCGGGGGTCGCCTCCCGCCGCGAGCACCCCTCCCGCCGCGCCGCGGTCTTGGCTGGAGTTGTAGGTTTGCCTGTTTTGGGGTTTTCCACGCTGGTTAAGAGAATAGGTCTCAGGAGAAGGAATTTCTTTCTTTTCTCCCCTCTCTCTCCTTCTCTCGGTAGTAGTTTAGCAGTGCTGGGGATTCCCCCCTCCCCTTTTCTTCACAATACAGTGGAGAGAGGTCGGTGGCACCGGCGGAAGGCTAGGGGCTGCGATGGCGGGGCTGACGGCCGCGGACCCGAGGTGAGGGATGCCGGGGAAGGCAGGAGTTTTGCTCAAGTTCGCAGTCTACGCCCTGGAGCTGGTCAGACCCGGGAGGGTCGACCGCGCGCCCTATCCTACCCCGGGCAACCGGTGGGAAACTTCCCGAGAGCACAGCCTCCCGGGGGACTCGGCGCCCCCGACGCCTCCAGGCGCTTCCTCCGGCCGCCGCGGCCCCTCCTCGCCGCCCCTGAGCGCTTAAGGTCGCGCTCTCCCCACCCCCGCCTTCCTCCCTCCCCTGGCGGCTTCCGGATCTGGACCGAGCTGGAGCAGCAGCTTCGAGCACTTCCCCTGGAGACCCCTCCCCACTCCCGAAGCGAGAGCCGGTCCGATCGCCCCCTGCCCGACACCCCAGGTTCACGCGCGCCCGAGTAGCCAGGCTGACAATGAAATCTCGCGCCTCTGCGGTCGCTGTTTGTGTGTGTGTGGAGGGGGGGGTCGCAGCTCGATTCTCCGGGGGCTGCGGACCCGGGGGAGGGGGAGGGGACTCCTTAGGGGGAGGGGCTTGTTTGGGTTAGAGACGTTGACGTCGTGTGGCGCCGTGAGGGGAGGGAGAGGGGGCGGGGGTGGGGACGGGTACGCGGTGGAGATCAAGCTTGGGTTCGCGGCCAGGGGTCGTGGATGCTAGCTCCCGTTGGGCTCGGTGATTGGCTGGTGACTTCAGGCACGTCGAGGCCCCCCAACCTCAGCCTCCTCCCTCCAACTCGGCCTCCTCCCCTCCTGTACAATGCGGGCTTCAGAGGTGATCCCGAGGGTGGCGTGTGTGTGTGTGTGTGTGTGTGTGTGTGTGTGTGTGTGTGACGAAGTGTTTGTCTCCTGCGATCCACAGCAGACGCTGCTCCGGTGACCCGGAGATCCGGACGCCTCACCCCTCCTTTAGCGACGAGGGGAGGAGAGTGGTAGAAACTTCTCCTTTTCCCACTCGGGCCATGGGAAGGTTGTGTTAGCCTAGAGAATTTGGGGGGGACCGAAGTCCTGATGGGGTGCTCTACTCCAAGGGGGTCGGTGGGGTCAGAGGCTCTGGGCACTCAAAGCCCCCAGATCCTTCTGCTCCTTTGGTGAATGGGAGAAGGGGAAGGAATGGAAAGGGTGAAGGACAAGTTGGAACCAGAGTGGAGGCTAAGGGGTGTCCACGGAAATATACCTTAATTGGATCCCCAGGTCAGCAGTGGAGGGGGCTAGACAGAGCTCCTTCTATTAGGCTAGGGAGCCAGCCCAAAAACCCCAAACTGGCATCCTCACAGGTGAAGGAATTGGTCTATGCAAAGAGAGGATTTCTGGGAGACTGAGGAGGCAATTTGGGGGAAGGGAGTAATTATTTTCGGGCTGTTCTTGGCTTGGTCCAGGAATAGGAAGGGTTAACCCTCCCCAGAAATCTGTCAGCCCCACACAGCAGGGACACGCTGTCGGACCCTTTGACGTGCTAATAGCGTGACACCGGCTGACAGGAGCTAGCCCGTTCCCTACCCCAGCTCCTCTCACTGCATTAGCGGTGGGACAGGACTTGGGTGAGTGGTGGCTTGTTCTGGGGACTCAGGGTAGGAGGGTGTCAGAGATGAGAGGATGGCCACCAGGTAGCAGCCTTGCTGCCGAGAGAACAGAGGTTATTGTCAGGGCCAAGGGAACTGGGAGGGAGCTGCCCTCCGGCAGGGGCGGGCTGGAGAGGGGGAAACCTGGTCCACACTTTACCCTAGCTCCACCCCCCCTTCCCACCCACAGTCAGAGGCCGGGTTATTGAGGGGCTGCTGTCCCTTAGTTAAACTTTGAGAGCTAGAGCTAGAGCCAGGCCTGTTAGACAGAAGCGCAGGATTGATTTCTGTTCACTCCCAGGGCCCCATTATGGCACTGCCCGGAGGTGTAGAGTTATTCGCTTGGTTGTCATCCCTTCCCCCACCCCAGTTTCCATTTTCTGCAGGTGAGAACCCTTTTCTATAGATCTCAGAGCCCTTGGGGCCTGGCACCCATGGACACTCAGCTTGGATACAGTTGGATAAACATTGGAGTGAATGAATACGAAATGAATGGATGAATAAATGAATGAAAAGGGAAAGTTTCTCAATTGGAGACATTTAGTTTTTTTTTTAACAACCTTTCAATATATATTTTAAAATACAGTTCATAGCAAATAAAAAAAATAGAGAACAGTAAAAAGCTTACTGACAATCTTGGTGGGCTACGACATTGTTAATATTTCAATATAATCCTTCTCAGTTTTTTCAGTCTTGGTGTTTGGATTGTGGGTTTTTTTTTATTTTTATATCGTCATTCTCTGTATTCAGACATATATCCTGCTTTCTTCGTTGGTGCTAATAGGAGCCTTTTCCTGTTTTGTAACCAACTCTTCACAGAACACCATGGTTAATGTCTTCAGGCTTTTCCAGTCGAGTGGATGTACCATCATTTACTTAATATTCCCCTTTTGTTCAACGTTCTGGATGCTGATGAATGAGGTAGTTTTTTATTTTGTGCAGAGTTGGGCTTTTGGTTTTCTTTCTTTTTTTTAATGTTTAAGATGATTTCCTCAAAATGATGCTGCTCATGCCGAAAGCTCTGACATGCCTGCAGTGAGAGAAATGGGCTTCTCATTTTCCTAGATAAGTGGGGCGCTATTCTCCTTTCTTCCCCACAATCTAGAGCCTTCTTTGAGAACCGAAAAAAGCCTAGGCTATGAATCACCTGGTTGACCTCCCCCACCTGCTTTGACAGAGGAGGAGTGGAGTGGAGAGGGAAGTGAGTCCCAAGGTCACACAGCAGTCAGTGGCCTAGAACCAGCCTCTGGTTCTTTGTAGTTTTGGTTTTCATATCCAAAAGCGTCCCTAGGGGTCCTTTAGGCCGACTTTGCCCATTCCACAGATGGGGTGGAGGGCCACTGAGGGCTCCAGTGGAGAAGCACCTAGCTTTCCCCTGGAGTTGCAGCAAGAGAAACAGACAGCCTCCTGAGTGCCTTTGCATCATGCATGCTGGCCATGTCCTTGGGGTCTAGAGCCACCCAAGTTCTGGGTCTGCAGTTGGCCTCTCCTCACAACTCCTCCTTCCTCTTTGCCATCCCATTTTACAGTAGGAAAAACTGAGGACCTAAAGCAAGTGCCTTGCAGATGTCAGAGGACAGTGATGGTTATGCACCTGTTTCCTAGCCTCGGTTTACTCAGCCAGAGACCTAGGTCTTTGGGGGAGCTGGGGCCAGGTGTTGGTAGACAACTGGGGGTGGGGAGCGGGACAGGCCAGCTACATCTTCAGCTAGTCTTAGAGTGCCTGCAGGATGTCCCCTAAGGAGGAAGTGGAGGAGGAGAGAAAAGAATGGAAGTCTAGACTGAGAGGGAGAAAGGGGTTGAAAAAGAGGGAGTGGAGGTCAGGAAGGGGAAAATGGGGGAAAGACCCACTTAAAATGAAGAGAGAAAGTGAGGTCCCCACCTCTTTGGGTGCCCAGAGGAGAGACTAGGGGACTTCACTTCCAGTGAGGGTGTAGGTAGGAATTGGTCAGGAAAGGCTGGACATCTCAGTGGGCTCTGTCAGGGCTGAGTGGAACAGAAGGACCTAGAATAGGTAGGTGGCAGGGAGGTCAGGTCTACGGGGTGGCTTCTCTGCAGGCTCCCTGAGGGGAAGGTAGCAGGGTATGCCCCCAGTCAAGTTTGGGCCAGGGAGCCCGGGTGCCTGTAGGGGGCTGGGTGATTGTGGTTGATTTCCCATCAAGAATGGGGACCTTCTTTCCGCCCCACCTCCCACCAGCGTGCCGACTCATTACATCTAAGCGCAGCCCTCTCACGAGTGTGGGTACTGGGGCTTTTCAGTGGTGCATCTCTGCTTGGACTTCTCCCTGCAGGCCTATGCCCATCTGTGTTTGCATGTGTCCATGTCTGATCTGTTGGTTATTCTTGGGGGTCAGCATGTTCCAGGCTGGCTTGTGTGCGTGTGTGTTGAAGGGTGGTGTGAGTGAGTGCCCATATCTATGTGCCTGGGATCCTGTGTATGTCTTAAGAAGTCTGTGCCTTCCAGCCTAGGCACATGTGTGTTCATGCATGCCTGTGCGTGCCTGTGTGTGTGCGTGCAAATCTGTGTGCCTCTGCGTATGCCGCGTCTGTGAGTATGTACATGCGTCTGCGAGGCTCAGATCCCATTTGTGCATTTCCAGAGGGAGAACGTGCCCCCGAGCTTGGGCACGTGCATGTTTGTCTGTGTGTGAGCACACACTTTTCTCCTAATGGCCCCAAGAGGGATCCAGGCATCAGGCTTTTGTGCTGCTTTCAAGGTTGCGGCTGGGTGGATGAAGGGGGGGCGGCCTTCGACTGGGAGGGGTGGGTGGGGGAAGGCAAAAGAAAATCTTAAAAGACCGTCTTCCCTCTGGTCTCCAAGGAGATCAGCCTGTGAAATGATCCGCACGTTAATTAAAAACGATTATATCCTGATTGAGCCATTCCTGCTCACATCCCCAGCCAGGGAGAGGAGAGGTTGAGACCAGAAGATGCAGAGTGGCCTAATGTGGAGCACAGCCAGCTCCAGCCCCAACCCACAGAGGAAAGGGGGTCTGTGCGGGGGTGGGGGAGGAGGAGGGGTCATGACAAATGACAAAGTTGTTGGGA